TTCAAAGACTGGCCGGCAGGTGGCCAGTTATGAAAATGGACTCCCATGTGGCCAAACCTTGGTTTGAGTGTCAGACCTTGCTTTCTTACTTTCCCTCTGTGTCTCTCTCTGGTCAGATTTAAAAAAACAAACAAACAAACAAATAAATAAATAAATAATTCCTTTTAAAAATAGTTTTTAAGATGCTGCTCTTCTTGTTTTAGCTACGGTATACCCACAAGTGTCATTCAACAGCTCCTTGACACCCAACAGCCTCTTACCCTTGATGTGGAGGGCTCCAGAGTTGTACTTTGGCTTAATTCCCTTGACTCTGGTGAGGTAAAACTGGAAGGGGTTCCCTTTACTCAGCATGTCCCAAACATCCTGGCCTTCCCCTGACGTCTCATATTCACTTTCTTCCTCCTCTTTGAGTCTGTGGCTGGCGGGTGGCCCATGGTTTCCAGCTCTTTGGGCAGCACCATCTTTGGGAGGAGGGATGTCTTTCTCCTCTTTGACCGTCGCTTCCTCAGCCTGTTTATGCTGCGTTTCTGGTGGCAACTCATCATCGCTGCTGGACACGCACCAGCCTAGGTCATCCTGGGAGCCACTTTTCTGTCTTTTGAGAGGTGAAACTGAATCTGTGTTGCTGCACCTCACCGGGGACATCTTCCTCCTGTGTGCGGCTTTCCGAGCCTCAGAGCAGGTGTACCCGGGCTCAGCTGCCGCTCCGTGCCCAGCGTGAGGGAGAGAAGAGGTAGATGGCTTGTCCGCTTTAGGCTTTTCATCCTCACTTTCATCACTACTCGATATGGTCCACCTCCCATAATCACCTTCCTGAGACATTAGATTTCTGGAAATGAAAAACAGATCATTATTTCCCAGTCACTTGGTCACTGCAAACTATCTTTATTGCAATCTGATGAGCCTCTACAACACACAAAGCACTTTCGACACTTAGCAAGGCCGAGCCACGTAACTAACCTCAGTTGCTTTGTAGGTGTTTATTGCACACAACCAGAATCTGCTACCGGAACCTGACACATGAACAGCAGAAATCCTGGTCACGTTCTCTCCTCCCTGCGCTGTTCAATCTGAACTTTATTCTTAGACATTCTAGGAAAGGGGTCCAAAACAGAACAAAAATATTCATCCTTGACCCTGAAGTCCCAAAAGGTGATCGGCGTTAGGGCCAGTGTAAGGAATTTCAAGAGTATTTCTGACTTTGCTTGAATGTTTCAGTTCAAAATGAAATTTACAAACCTGGGACCAGTAGTTGGCATAATGGCTATGTCACTGGACTTCCATGTAGTAGACCGTGGGTTGAGTCCCGGACCCAGTGGCTTAAACTCATGCCAGGCGCGTGTGCATGCGTGCCCAAGACCCAAGAGGAGAAGGGATTGTAGAGTGGCCCTCCCCCACCCTGGGGGGAGATTACTCGCTTTCTGTCTGTCTGGCAAGCGCACATGCCCTATAGCAAAAACCTCTCCAAAAAAAAAATAAATAAATAAAAATAATTTTAAAAATGTACAAACCTTAACCCAAGCACAGGTGCCACAGAACTTCAGTGATTATGTCTTTCTTATTTTCCAGATTAGCCATTTTCACAATGCTTAACAAAGTCCTCAAGACAATGCCAAGTAACCATTCTGTGTGTACATTACCTGTAAGTACCTAGAGGAGGACCCGACTAACAATAACTGTCATAAATCAAACTACTAAGACGGGCAGAGAGACAATCTGTACAGAAGCAAAACAGTTTTATAGACCAGAGTAAGTCTAATTTCCACTTCTTTGCTCTCTGAAGAAAATTCATGAAACAGGGACCTTTGCTTTTACCTACAAAGTGTCATCAATTCAATGGTAAAGGGCTATCTAAGCAAGCAGATTGTCAGCTAAAGGACAGTTCCTTGATGTGATAGTCTTTTTTTAAGAGATTTTTGCTATAAGGTACATGTGCTTGCCAGAGAAAAAGAGAAACAGAGAGCAAGAAATCACCCCCTAGGTTGATGGCCACACCGCAATCCATTCTCCATTATCCTCTCAGGATTTTGGGCACACACATACACACACACACACACACACACCCGGCATGAGTTTAAGCCACCAGGTCTGGGACTTGAACCATGGTTGACTATGTGGAGTCCAGAAATAACTATTACACCATTTGCTGGTCCCTCTGTAATGTGATATTTTTAACATATTAGTACAAGATGGAGTGGAAAACTATAAAATTCAAGTGTCAGATTGATAGAGTACCTTTAAATTTTTGCTGTTATAAAGAAGATACATTATGAATGGGGTAAACCAACTTCCATGGAGGGGCGGGGGGAAGGCTTGATTCTGCATCAAGATTTGCAAAGGAGGGACCAGCAGACAGTGTATGGTTACATTGCTGGACTCTCACAGGAACAACTGCAGTTCAAGTCCTGGACTCAGCAGCTCACAGCACATGCTCGGTGCGTGTGCATGCATGCCTAAAATCCTGAGAGGCAATTGGAGAAGAAGGGATTGCAATGTGGCCAACCCCTCTGGGAGGTGATTTCTCTTCTGTCTCAGTCTCTCTCTTTCCAGTGAGCACATGTACCCTATAGCAAAAATCTCTCTGAAAAACAAAAAGATTTGCAAAGGAACACACATGCATATGTCTCAAGCTAAAAAAAACTCCCTTAACAGTATTTATCACTGGGGCCAGCAGGTGGCATGGAGGTTGAGGTATTAGATCCCACATGGCCAACTTCACAGTTCAAGTCCCCCGACCTAGTGGCTTGAAAGCCATGCCTGGTGTGTATGCATGCCCAAAATCCTGAAAGGAGAATGGAAGAGCCAAGGCTGCCATGTGGCCAGCTCCCTGGGAGGTGATTCTTACTTCCCACCTCTTTCATCCCCTGGTGAGAGTACATGCCCTACAGGAAAACTGAAAACAGACGACACTATCACCTTTTTTTTTTTTTTTTTTACAATTTCTCACCTGTATGATTAATTGCAAGTCAGACAAGTTTCTTTCATAAATTACACACACATTTCAAGGAGCTTTCTTGTAGAGCACTTTGAGATAATCTGGCTCGTTCTTCAAGGCTCAGGAACCATTTTACAGCCAAAGACTTGGGGGAATGTCGCTCTACAGCTGGGGCCACTTGCTCCAGTAGAATGCCCCAGATCCTGTCTAGCTCTGCAAGCTCTCATATCTGCTTCCTAGTTTTCTGTTCATTTCTACCCTGGCCAGCTTCTACGGGCTGTGCTTTTCTATGCAAAAACGCAGTGTGACCTTCCCGACAACCTAACAGTACCCAGAATATGTTTTTCTTAAATTGTTTCTAATCTGCTAAAGGTTAAGAAACCAGATAATAACTTTTATTGAAAGTGTCCTGTCGGTTAATAGGGTCTGAGTGCCAGGTTTTGTCCATGAAAGAGACTCAGATTAATTTACCATCAATGCTTAACACCTGTTTAAGCAGTTGGAGAGTTTTTTTGTTTGTTTGTTTGTTTGTTTGTTTTAAGTTTGTTTTTATCTTTTTGGGTTTTCTTCCTCTTCTTTAAAAACATCAATCCCCAGAGGACAGCAGATGGTGTGGTGGTTAAGGCATTGGGTCCCACATGGCCAGCTTCCAATTAGAATCTGGACCCACATGTTTAAAAAACATGCAAGGTGTGTGTGTCCAAAATCCCAAGAGGAGAATGGAGAAGGGACTGTAGCACAGCCATCCATTCCCGCCCCCCTGACCTGCAGGGTGATTTCTCACGTTCTGTCTCTCCTATCAATACATGTGCCCTATGGCAAAAATCTAAACACAAAACAATTCAAAAATGTAAGACCCCTAATGATCTAGAGCTTAGAAATTGATGGATTAGAGGTATTTAAGCTGATATAGTCAGCTTTGAAGGAAATATTTTAGTGGCTAATTTTGTGACTTTAAAAGAAACACCTCAGAGGGACTAGCAGTTAGCATCACGGCTATGTTGCTGAACTCCCATGTAGTCGACCGCGGTTTGAGTCCCGGACCTGGTGGCTTAAGCTCACCCGGGCGCATGTGCGTGCATGCCCAAGATCCCGAGAGAATGGAGAAGGGATTGCGGCATGGCCATCCCCCCCGGAGGGTGATTTCTCGCTTTCTCTCTCTCTGTCTCTTTCTGGCCAGCACACACGCCCTATAGCAAAAAACCTCTCCAAAACAAACAAACAAACAAAAAACCACCTTAGAAAAAACTATTTTGAATCTTAGCTCTAGCTTCCTTTGAATTCTATAATAAAATAGCTCTAAATAAAGGCGCTTATTGGGGATCAGCAGATGGCGTAATGGTTACGTTGCTGGACTCCCATGTAGTTGACCACGGTTTGAGACTTGTACCTGGTGGCTTAACACTCATGCCAGGCACATATGTGTGCATGCCCAAGATCCCAAGAGGAGAACAAGGAAAAGGGATTGTGGCATGGCCATCCCCCTGGATAGTGATTTCTCCCTTCCTGTCTCTGGGTCTCTCTGGCTCTCCAGCAAGCACATAGGTCCTATAGCAAAAACCTCTCAAAAAAAGAAAAAGGCGCTTAGTAATAGAACCTTCAATTAAGAGTCCTCAGGCTGTTCTCTCTAGATTCCTTCTCCATTCTAAAGCAAATAGTGGGTCTGAGAGATTTCTGGTAAGAATAATTTAGTTTCCAGTCTCGGAAGCCATCTGTAGACTTTTTTTTTTAATAATTATTTTATTTATTCATTTGACCAGAGAGAGACAGACGTTGAGAGTGAGAGAGAAAGGAAGCGAGAAAGCAAGCCACCAGATTCAGGACTCGAACCTTGGTCGGCCATGTGGGAGTGTCCAGTGCCTTAACCCGCCACCTGCTAGCAGGTCGCAACCATCTGTAGACTCTTAACAAGCCAGCATCATCACATCTCCAGGTGAATAATACTATAATTTGTATTACATATAAAACGAAAGAAATCCCGAAACCCAGAGACTGTAGGCAAGATCTCAAGCGACTCTAAACTAGGAAATTTCCTAAATTTCAGTTTTATCATTGTCTACATTTTCAATAAACATCTGGGGGTGGGAGACCCTCAACAGAGTAGGGGAAGATGATTTAAAAAAAAGAGAGAGAGAGAGAGAGAAAATGCTTTGAAAGACATTTCCAGAGGGAAAAAGTCTTTTGTTTTTTTGCTCCTATTTTACACATAATTTATGTCTGGGGCCTGCTGACATAAAAATATGCCTAAGACATATTTACCAGTTAAAGGCAAATCATGTTCACAATATACTAATAACACTGTGTGGCATGATTAAGCCTGGTGTGTTACCAATCTCTTGGTCAATTGGAGCGCTCCACCTGTTGGAAAGCTGTTGCTAAATGCCTAGATCAAACTGGAACCGACTCCAATTTGGGATACAGGATCTGGTCACCGGTACCATCAGTTCATTTCCCACCCTCTTCAAGCCCGGGTCCAGGATTCCAGAATGGTTTTGTATCAAGTCATACAGTTCCACGTGTACAGAACCCAAGAGCTTTCCTTCAGGTGTTTACTGCTGTCTTCCCAGGGCACACTTGGTACAGTGCTAAATCCCAAGGCACACTTTTCCTAACTGGTGCAGAAAGAGAGAATGACAATACAGTGGGCTGATTCTCAGTCCTGGCAGCCAGTCAAGACAGAGGCAACTCGGATATGACGTCAACATCACATTAAGAAAATAACTTCCATTCCAGTCCAATCTCCCTGTTTAAATAAAAAAGTTGTAGGTGCTTTCAATCTGGCTTTTGATCAAACAGCAGGCTTTAGGCTCTTCTGCTCACACCAGTAACACTTTTAGTTTACCATCAATGGAAGGGTGCAGTTCACTTTTTTTTTTTTTTTTTTTTTTTTTTTGAGAGAGAGATTTTTGCTATAGGGCATGCTTGCCAAAGAGACAGAAAGACATTAAGTGAGAAATCACCCCCGGGGAGATGACCATGCCACAATCCCTTCTCCCCCATTCTCCTCTCAGGATTTTGAGCATGCCCGCACATTGGCCTGGCATGAGTTTCAAGTCCCTGGGCACAAGACTTGAACTGCGGTCAACCACATGGGAGTCCAGTGAAGTAACCATTACGCCATCTGCTGTTTGTAACAGACAGTGTTTATATATAAACAGTGTGAATGAATTTCTAAAAATTAAGTCAACTTCAGTATATGTGTTAAAAGACTAAAACAAAATCTAGGGAGGAGGAGGAAGATGAATGATTGAAATTTGACAAATACTGCCCTAAGACGATGAAAATTTTAAACATACAAAAATTATCATGGACAGAAAGAGTACATCTCAGCTGTGGTCTTTCACACACCGAATGCTTCCTTTCAGAGAGTAAGGTTGAAAGGTTGTCAGGAGGGCCTGGGAGCCAGATTCCCGGGATGAGGACCTGTGCGGCCAGTAGTGGGCAAATGTGGGCCCCTGAATCAGATCCAGTCTTTACCAGGTGGCGAGTGTGCACCTGGCAGGTTAGTTAACTGCTGAGCCTCAGTTTCCTCATGCTTCCCCAAGTTGCTTCCTTCACAAACACTGAGCAGCTACCATCATCCTCTTCATCATTTTAAAAAAGTTTTTAGTAGTTATTATTCACCAAGCACTGGGAGGGAGTTAACAAGCTTCTGTCCTACTAAAGGTTAGTTTCAGGGCAGAAGAGACAGATCAAACATACACATTTTTAAAGTCAACATGGTTTATATTCATTACATTTTACAGGTATGCGATAGAAAAACAGAGATGCCCTTACTCTGACATATTCTTCAAAGTACCATTTGAGCTAGACTTGGAGGACGAGAAGGAGCCAAAGGGCTAAAAGACGGAGTGAGACGCTTTCTCCCACCAGCAAAGGCCAGGAGGTAGCATGGAGGTCACCACCTGCAAGAGCAGCAGTGGTCCCGGAAGGAAGGGGCTGAGTGAGGGGAGAAGCAGCGCGGTTAAATGACAGTGGATTTTAGTCTACGGACGGGACCCCACTTAGAGGGGGGCACACCTGCTCCGCTTGACCTTTTAAAATTCTACCTTGGCTACACCTGTGTGGAGAGTGGTTTGAATGAAGAGCCCAGGGTGGAGACGCTCGCGGGAGCTGGGGGAGATACATAAGCGGTGCAGACGGGGTAAAGCGGGCCGATTCCGGGCACGCAGAGGAAGGAAGTAGCGACGGCTGCTAACTTTTCTGCGAGCTGGGTTGGGTCGGGCAAAACCCGAAGTGCCTTCCCCGGCGTACACTAGCTTCGGCCTCTGGGCCAGTGCAGACCACGTATCTTGATCGTGCCCAGGGGTGGAGACACTGAGCCCAGAATGGTCAAGTGGTGACACCGGGGCAGCTCTGGCTCCCGACAGCCCGAGACCACCGCTAAGTGCACGGCTGGAGTGAGCATCCCAGCATGAGGCCCCTCACGTCCGCAGCTAGGCAGGAGTCTGCAGGGCGCCCCCCGGAGAGCCGCTATTACTGCAGGAACCGGAGGCCCGGGAAGCAGAGGCGTCCCCACCCCGGGGCTCCGCGGGCTGCACCAGCCCCTCGCCCCGCACCCGCCAGTCACAGTCCGTGAGAGAGCATGCAGGCACT